AACTGCATATCTGAGTTGACCTGAGTCACCTCAGAGAGGGAAGAGAAATGTAAATCGTGGTCATGGTAGCTGTTTTTTCAAAGAGAGACAGGAAGACGTTGGAGGAGACAGAGATGCTTTCAAGTAGAACTAACATGACTGAAAATAAGTGCCGCAGCTCTTTTTGTGTAAACTGTTGTTGTTTTATGTAGAATGTGGAAGAATAAAGTATTCTATTGAATAATGCCTTGCTGTTCAACATAACGCTTTCCTCAGTCATGTTTGTACAGAATTGTCTATTTAAATTGGGCAGAAACGATTACTGGCATGAATCCTCATGGAAACGCATGCTCTAGCTCCACTAATTTCTGCCCCTCTGCTGCCCTTCGGTGGCTGTTTCTTGGAATGTCTCCGCTTCAGGTTCCTTATTTCTTCCCAGCCTCCACTCTCCTTTCCCTGGTTTCCTAAGCAAATTCAGTGCTGTCCAAAAAACACTTTCAAAACGTCTCGATTGTACAACAAAACGCTATAACAAAGCCTGAGGAGGACAAACAACTTTACACAGCATCCGCCTCCTGAGCCTGAATAGTCCAATCTTCCCAGGAACCCTCATAGGGTATCTCTAGCCAAGCACACTGCCTGGCCCCCACACAAAACCTGCTGCTTGGGATGTGCCCCTCCGATCCCGGAACAGGAAAACGAGATCCGCTTCTTTCTGGCTGTGCAGGATCTGTGCCCTTCCCATCCCTAGACATCCGGCTGTCTCCACTTCCCCCAGGAAATATGCCCAACCACTTACAAGCTGCAGTGTCTCTGGACTGGTCAAGAGTTGGTCAAGAGTCTGGACTGGTCAAGAGTTGTTCATAACTAATTGGAACAAATATTTAAGTTTGGATAACCTCATAAATAATTAGTTGAAAAATTAATAAGGTATTTATATTTTTATCAACTCTATTAGCATAAAGTGTTTCATAAGCAGGAATCTTTGCTTAAGTGGCTTTGCTGGAAGAAGGAATCAGAGGACTTGAGCCCTAGGTGGGAATGTAGGCTCATTTAAGGTGTGTAACCCAGTTTATGGGAATCTACTGGGACTCACCAAAATGAGGACCTTTGGAGATTTTGCATGAAGAGACCCAACATGTGCCGGACATAGAGTAAGATTTCTTTTCTTTCTTTTTCTTTTCTTTCTTTCTTTCTTTTTTTTTCTTTTTTGAGTTGGAGTCTCACTCTGTCACTCAGACTGGAGTGCAGTGGCTGCCCCCAGCCACCGCAGCCTCGACCTGCTGGGCTCCGGTGATCTTTCCGCCTCAGCCTTCCAACTACAGGCTCACGCTACCACGCCCGGCTAATTTTTTATTTATTTATTGTAGACATGAGATCTCTCCAAGTTGCCCAGGCTGGTCTCGAACCCCTGGGCTCAGGCAATCCACTCACCTCAGTCTCCCAAAGTGTGGGATTACAGGCTGAGCCACCAAGCCCAGCCAGAGTAGGATTTCTTTAAGCGTTTCTAGAGATGTTTATATCTGTAGATATTTATACCCCTAGAAACGAGGCAAAGCATTTTATAAGTTGAAAACAACTTGTTTTCATTGTAGAACTATAAACCAAATGCTAGTGAATTTGCATATATGGCTTCAATTGCTATCAATTATAGACGATTATCTTTCATTAATTTTTCTGCTGGCTAATACAATTTTGTTTTACATTTTGAAAAATAAGCCACTATTAGAATAAATTTGCTTAAAAGAATTCTATCACTACCTTTATCTCCTGGTGAAGCCTAACTGAGAAAGCAATGCAATTAGCAACTAAACCAGCATACTCAAGGAAAAAGTCCATTTTCAATTGAGTTGAAAAAATAATTGGATATTGCAATGTTTTACTGAGATGCAATATTTTAGGCTAACTATTCATTTGGGTTTTTTTTTCTGGTAATAAAAATAATGCATTTCTATTGTAGAAAATTTTAGAAAATATACAGCAAAGATTTAAGAGCATTGATGATTTCCACAATTAAGAACCAATATTACTTAAAATTCTTGTGAATTTATGACTACCTTTTTTTTCCCTTAAGCCAGTGCTGTCCAATAGAACTTTCTGTGATGATGAAAGTTTTCTATCTGAGCTGTTCAGTGTGAGGGCTGTTAGCCATGAGTGGTTGTAAAGCATCTCAAATGCAGCTAAAGCAACCCAGGAACTGAAATGAAGTTTTCATTGTATTCAATGTTAATTAACCAAAATTTATTTTTTAAATGTTTCCCAGCTTTACTGAAGTATAATTGACAAATAACATGGTAATTTCATACACATATACATTGTGAAATGATTGCTACAGTTTAACACATCCATCCCCCACAGCTACCATGTGTGTGATGCCAACACTTCGATCTAGTCTCTTTGTAAATTTCAAGCAAACGGTAGAGTACTATTAACTGAAGTTACCATGTTGTACATTAGATTCCCCAGAATTTATTCCCTTTATAGCTAAAAGTTTGCACCCTTTGATCAACATCTCCCCGTTTTCCCTGTCCCCACCAGCCCCTGGTAACTACTGTTCTACTCTCTGTTTCTGTGAATTCAATGTTTTTAGTTTCCTCATATAAATGAGATCATGAATTATTTGTCTTTCTGTGTTTTGCTTCCATCACTTTGCATGAAGTTCATTCATGTTGTTGCAATTGTTAGCACTTCCCTCTGTTTATGGCAGAGTAATAGTCCACTGTACATATAAACACCCTATTTGTAATTCATTCTCCTGTCAGCAGGCATAACTTTTTTTTTTCTTGAGTTGGAGTCTCACTCCATCACCCAGGCTGGAGTGCTCATGGCCACCCCAGCGTCGACCTGCTGGGTTCGGGTGATCCTTCTACCTCATCCTTCCAAGTAGCTAGAACTACAGGCACACGCTACCATGCCCAACTAATTTTTTATTTATTGTAGAGACAAGATCTTGCCAAATTGCCTGGGGTGGTCTCAAACCCGCAGGCTCAGACAATTCACTCGACTCAACCTCCCAAAGTGCTGGGATTACAGGCTAAGCAACAACCATAATTTAAAAGTAAATAGTCACATGTGGCTACTGCCTAACATGTTGGACAGTATAGTTCTTGGCAGATTTTTTACAATATTGGAAACTTAGCATTGTGTTTGGAGCATTTCCGCTTATTAGTAAACACTCTGTGAAAACATGATATAAATGTTTCCTTAATTTGTTATATGAAGGTAACCAATAGCATCTGGCCCCAGAAGCATGCTCCCCTTGCTGCTTTGCAAGTAGCCAGGAGTCCTACAATTGCAAGAAAATTAATTCTGCCAACACCCCCAATTATGAGCCAGTTAGATTCTTTCTATTTAACTCTTGTCAGTACAGAGACAGTAAGCCACTTGGTACATCAATCTTTGTCTAGAGTCACTATTATTTTCTTAGGATAGGTTCGGAAAGAGTAGTCACTAGGTGAAAGGCTAAGACCCGCTTTAAGACTCTATATACTGTGGCTACATTGCATTCCTGAAAAGTTGGACCCATTTTACTCCCTCCAGCAGGTACTCAGGTACCTATTTCATTGCTCCCTTGTCAACATCAAACATTACCCAGTCCTCTTAATTGACATACAGACATGAGACCAAGTGGTCTGGGTTTTCTTGTTCTTGGCTGGTGGCTGTGGTGCTCATGGAGATGGAATACCAGGTCCCCTCAAAGAGAAGACATGTTTCTCCAGCTGCATTTGTGTGACAAGCAGGCAGTCTTTCTGCCACCTCCTTCAGGCTCTACCTTTGCTGTCAAGAAGGTTGTGCCCTTTCAGGATAGCCCATAACCAATGACAGACTGAGGCAGAGGTTCATAGACCTGGCCATATGGAGTCCAATGCGGGCAACTCTGATGGGTAGTACTCACTCCAGAGCTGTTGGCTGAGGCACTGTTGGCCCGGCAATACCAACAGACTTCTCCACCTGCCCAATACTGCTTCCTCCCCATTTCTTTCACAGGTAGGGATCTCTGATAAGTATCTTGTACCCCAAACCCATCTTAGCGTCACTCCTGGAGGGCCCAACTTGCCACAGAAGTGATGTTGGACTTTTTATATTTATATGCTTTTTTATGTCATTTTTGTGTTGAAAAGGATTTTGAGACTGCTTCTGGGAAAGCAGAAAAGAATATTGATATCAATTAATACATTTAATTAAAAAAAACGAGTAAGTCTGAGGCAATAGAAAAAGCAACAAAGGCAAAAATGGATGAAATTGACTTAAAACTTTAAAAATTCTGCATATGAAAAACACCCTGGATAAAAATTGTTTTAAAGACACAAACTGGAAAATGACAATATACGAAAGTTTAATCATTATTTATGAAGAGATATTACGTGTCAAACTAACCCAAATAGAGAAAGGATTGTACTATCCTGTCTCACGTGTGTATTTCTTTAGGACTTAAAAAGTATTCTCAGCCAGGCTCGGTGGCTCAGTCTATAATCCCGCGCCTTTGGGAGGCTGAGGTGAGTGGATTGCCTGAGCCCGCAGGTTCGAGACCCGCCTGGGCAGCGAGACCTCATCTCTACAATAAATCAAAAAATCAGCTGGGCGTGGTAGCGCGCGCCTGTAATTCTGGCTACTCAGAAGGCTGAGGCGGAAGGATCGCCGGAGCCCAGCAGGTCGAGGCTGCGGTGACCGGGAGTGGCCACTGCACTCCAGTCTGGGCGACAGAGTGAGACTCCAACTTAAAAAAAAAATTTTAAAAGTATTCTCGCATTGTGTCTTCTCCAAACATATTTCCAAAAGTCCTTCAGGATCGGGCTGTTCCTCTGGAACTTCAGGTAGTCTAAAGTGAGGATGGTCTTGAAGAAAAACCTTTATTTCATTTATGAAGGAGCTCAACTAAAATGGGAACATGTCTTTGCGGGGAAAATTATAGTCCGTTCAGCCCTCCAGTTCCAAAAACAATGAAAAAGTTGAAGAAAACTTAATTTGGGGTCCCTCTCCAACAACAGAGTCGTAACCTATACACCTCCTCTCTCACACAGCCTTGATCACTGATGACCTCACGGATGCAATCCTTTGTGCCAAGAAAATTATTAAGGAGACACAAGGAATGAACTATTGGTAAGAGCCTTTCTTCAGAAGACTTTGCCTGTCACAAGCAAAACCAGCAATGTGTCTGTTCACCATGGCCATGGTGAGAGTGGACAGACTCCTCCACAGATTTGAACGTGACCTTGTCTATATTCCCCTCTATTAGTGTGTGGGTATGCAGGACACACAGTCAGAGAGGGATGAGTGCAGATAGAAGGGGCAGGACTGCGTCAGGATAACCTGCACCTGCCTTTCCTGGGCAGGTGTTCTACACGGATAGAGAAAGAGGGACTTTCTAGGGTGAAATAGAAAGGGTCGATTGAGTCAATACAACAGATAAAAAAATAAATAAAGCATGAGTTTGCTACAGATTTGGCTAAGATTTTGGAGGGTTACAGTCACATTTTATGGGGAAAACAAACAAGCAGCAGTGAGAAAAAAGTGGCCATGTCTGTCCCATGATAACTTGGAAAACATCCCAAGATTGAGCATGGGGCATTACTGAGCTGGTGCTCACACCGTTTCTGTCTCTAGTAAGCATTGGTAATCAGGCCACCCACTTGGAGGGCCCACATTTCCAGAGATGTGGGAATTTGAGTGACCCATCCTTATTAAAGTTATTTACTTGTTACTGAAGCTAATAATGATTAGGAGGAAACTGGGAAAAGTCTTAGCAAGGCCAGAGGATAGAGTCCTTGGATCTCAGAAGCAAATGAAACTTAACTCTAGGCATTGCTGGTCATTTTGGTTAATTATCTTTGTATTTTTAATTCTGAGACTATTTGGATTGTCATGCTTTTTTCTGGTGTTCCTGCCTCCCTCTCTCCTTAGGCAAGGCTGGAAGAAACACTGTGAAGGCAGAGAACTGTCTGACTGGAAAAAAGGATGTGAGGTTTCATAAGCTGGAACTGGACCCATGATGCTTTGCAGTAACTAAGCAGAATTTGCAATGAATGTCAAAATGTTTGGGCCTCTTGTCCCTTTCCCCTCTATATTCCTTCTCAGTGTTGAGAGGGAAAATTAAGCTATATTTTTAAGGGAATAAAATGTTTCCATTTAAATGCCTTCACTTCACTCTGACTCAGTTTCAATGATGTCAGGATAGCATACTGTTAAGACTTGAAGAATGGCCTCCAAAATATTCTAGCCCTAGAAGGAAAAAACTTCCCTTCTTTATTGTCCCAGTTCCCATGGCCCTGAAATGACTGCTCATTCAAAAATAAGACTCTCAAATCAAGGAGGACACCAGGTGAACAGATTTAATGGACCTTCGGGCCATCGTCTGGCAACCTCTGTCCTAGAGCTTGTGGGCGGTTCTTTTCCTGGTCAGTGAACACATGGTATGTCCTCAGGTCAATACTGCCAGAGTGAATGTCCCTACCTCCTCAGAGGAATCCTGCTGGAAACTCTGGGAGGATTAAATAAAATTGCAACTCCTACCCCCAACATCCAGAGAGTTGCTCATGCTATTCCAGCATCCATTTAAATTAAACCTAACCAATTCAAAACCACACTTACATCCTCATGACCAAGTTGTTTTCAGCCTTAGGCCCACAGATTGTATTAGTTTGGCCAGGAATCTGGCCACTTACAGAGTCTGATGACATAAAGCAATGAACTGAAGACCTCAGACCCCGAAGAGATAGTCCCAGGAAGCCTTGTGCTCCACACAGGGATGGCACCCACTACTGGCCCACAGAGCAAGGTAGCTCTGCTGCTCCTGCCGGGCTTCTCTCCCATGTTTTCTGTCTACCAGTCTCTGTCTGCTGGGACAGAGAAGCTCTCTTGTTCTAAATCTAGGTGGAAGTGGTAGGCTCCAGTTGAATGCAATCTGAACTAGAAAATGCAGAATTAAAGTTTGTTGGAGAATTGATTATCCCAGCAAATAAGTTTCTCACTTAGAAGAAAGTCCCCACACCCTGAAAAACTCTCCAGCTGCCAATCCTGTTGGCTCGTTTCCTGCCTCCCGGTTTCACTCACAGGTTTTAAAGAATTATAACTGTTACTTGCCCCTAAAATGAACATTTTATGTATTTTTAAGCAAACATATAATCCTAGGGTAATTTAATAGGTATTACAAACCATGGGGAAAACGCTCTCGAAACCTATGTAAGAATTGAAAAATAATTCCATAAGATGGCTGGAGAACATTTGAAAAATTAAGACTCCATTAAGCCACACCAAATCAATAATCTGTGCTCACAGAAGTCCATAAATATGCATTTTTCATTATTAGTGTCCTGTTATCCATCTGCCATGCAGTCCCCATTCTTAGCCAAATGCCTGCTTCATTAAAGCCAATGGCACCAATTAATGAGCTGAGTTGGCATGAGCCTGGCACCAGTCATTCAAAGACTAGGGGAAAGAGTCTTTAAAAAAAAAAAACCAACTCCAAATATAAGTACTTTGCAAATCAGGGTGAAGGGAAGCTGGCTGGCCCTACCATCTGATCGATCTATCTTTTTTCAAAACCCAAAATTTCTAACCATGTAATCCTATTTCCTTCCTCAAATGTTTTATTTACATAATATTTCTATAAAAATAATGAATGAAAATTAAAAAGAGAATGAAAATGAAAAAATGCATCTTCTTTGATAATTTTCCATAATTATTACTTTCATAAATTCAAAACAACTTCTTTTCTTGGGTTATCTTTATTTAACAAAAAGATATTGAGGCCAGGTGTGGTGGCTCGCACATGTAATCCCATCACTTTGGTAGTCCAAGGCAGGAGAATTGCTTGAGCCCAGGAGTTTGAGACCAACCTGGGCAACATAGCAAAACCTCATCACTACAAAAAATTTTTTAAAAATTGATCAAGTGTCATGGCGCACACCTGTGGTCCCAGATAGAAGGCTGAGGTGGAAAGATTACCTAAGCCCAGCAGGTCAAGCCTGTGGTGAACCTTGATTGCGCCACCACACTCCAGCCTGGGCAGTAGAGTGAGATACCAACATAGAAACACACACAGACACACACACACACACACACACACACACACACACAAAGTATATTGAAATAACAACCCACATTTATATTCCCTTTTTCGATTCCCAAGTCATTTGGAAACAGATTTTCTTTTTCAATTTTTCCTCACACCTAGCTTTTGAGCAGACAGTTGGAAATTAGGGTACACAGATCAATTTATGTGAGGACATTCTTTCTTTGGAGACTCAGCTCTGCCTGACTCTTGGGGTCCCTCACCCCCTGCTGTGGGGGCATATTCCTTTTGTGTTCCAATGTGCTCCCTGTTATTCCTCAACACTTTCAGGATGCCTCCTGAATCCAGTATACCATTTCCCCTTGGGTGTCTTTGCTCTTGGTTTTTCCCAACCTTGGAGGATTCCCTATGGCCAACTCCTCGCCCTATCCTTGGCCCAGCCAACACGAAGATCCTTGCTCCTCTCACCCCAGTATCCCTCCTCTGAGACCATGAATAGTATGTGCTACAGGATGTCTTTTGCTACTATATTTTCCACGATTCCATTTGCAATGCTCAGCCCATAACACTTGACATCCAAAAATACTGATGGCCCAGGTGCTGGAGACTCACGCAGGTAATGCCAGTAATTGGGGAGGCCGAGGTGAGAGGATTGTTTGAGCCTCGGGGTTCGAGACCAGCCTGGGCAACATAACTAGAGCTTGTCTCGACAAAAGTAAAAAAATTAGCTGGTGTGGTAGCATGTGCCTATAGTCCCAACTACTTAGGAGACTGAGACAGAAGGATCGCCTGAGCCCAGGAAACCAAGGATGTGGTAAGTTACGATTGTGCCACTGCACTCCAGTGTAGGTAGGTGACAGAGTAAGACACCAACTCAAAAAATATATACATAGATGTTGATTTTTGGTACCACTGGACACACATATGGAGTTGTAGAGGAAATACAAGTAAGATGTTGCATTTAGAACATTTTTGTTTCCAAATGAAGTTCACATTTATTATTCCACGTGCTCCCTGAGACAACCTTGGGATGCCGGGTAACATAATGTTTGTTTTACACGACTTGCTGAGACCCAGAAAGGGTGACTAGCTCTCCAGGGCTCAGAGCTACAGCAGGAAGTCCAGGAGAGCCCTGTTGTCCTACAGGACTCTTCAGAACTCGGTGAAAGAAGTGTCCTAGTTCTTTTGGAGTCACAGCTACTTCCTTGGGTTCCTCAAATGTGGCACGAACCCCAGCCTGCTCCCAAAAGATTCATGGAACAATTTAATCTCCTCAAGGTGATTTAAAAAATAAAGACCTCATAAAGGCCCAGGAAGATTTCCTCTGTGTCCACAAGACAGAAGGAAAAGGCTCTAGGCTTAAAACTCGAGACTCATAATAAACATGTATTACTTTTTCCAACTAGAAACAAATTACATTTTTTGATTTAAAAGTTTACAATATGAAAATCATTTATTCCCACACAGACCAAGTACCCCGTGCCAGTCCACCCACTCCTTTGCATTGTTTTGCCAGGTTCTCAGGTCCTGGACGTCCCCACTGTGCCCCTATGTTGCTTGAGGAAGACTATCTGGTTGTCACCATCGGGCAGAGCTCGGTCAATCAGTCATTCTTCACATGCAGTGATGCCATGGGGTGGAAACACACATCCACTTGCAAAGGGCAAGAGCTCAGGAACCCAATCCAGGAGGAACCCTGGGCATAGCAGGAACATCTGGACCACCAAGGAATAGGGAGGCAGCCAAGGGCACTCTGTCCCTTGCAGGTGATTCTTTCCCTCGCTTTCCTCCCCTCTTCTATCCAGACAGGATACTCAGAAACTGTTCTGACTAGAGCAAGCTGTTTAAGCTGTTTAAGCTGATCCTCCAGTAATAGCAGAAAGAGAGGAGGAACCAGAAGGTCAGAAGCTAATCAGCAGAGCCTCACTGGAGAGCCTGAGAAGAAGAAAAGCAGAGAATACGTTCCTCACAAATTGCAGAGGCTGCTGCAATATGAACAACCTTTCCCACCGGAGCCTCCTCGCTGAGGCACAGCCCAGATGAAACGTTGTCAGGCAGCCGCCTCTTCCTGCCCTTTGTTCTAGCCACCTTGTGGGTTGACTCTGGCTATAACAGTAATCCATGTTCACTGTAGATATGGGGAAAATATTTTTCAAAAATGAATAACTCTCATACTGAGTGATCTATCACAGAAACAACCGAGTATCACATGTTCTCACTCGTAAGTAGACCTTGAACAACTATTGTAATACTATAAGAAAAGGATTGGCAGTAGTGGGAAACTGCCGGGGGATGGGGGGGCACACCTCATCAACAAGGGTACCTGCATAATGAACATTTGTATACCTAACCCTGAACTGTATCCCACATCTTTAAAATAAAACATTTAAAAAATAAATACATAAATAAAATAAAATAAAATGCTCTCACCATTCAATAGCTGCTATTAATATTTTGATTTTTTTCTTCCAGAATTTTAATTTTTTTAAATAAAGTTGAAATTACAGAGTATTTAATTGTATAACTGCTCTTTTCACTTACTATGCCATAAGATTTTCCCCACATTAATATTTTCCAAAATATGACACATAAAAACAGTATAACAGTGTTCCTACACCATCCCCAATACACTTCCTCTTTCCCCGTGACTGCATGACTGGTTTCCCCAGGACTGCTTTCGGGCCTGGGTCTCTAGGCTAGTTTTGGCAAAGGACAAGCCTCTTCTCACTGTTGATTCTCCTCCAGACGTCACCAGACATCCTCAATAAATGTTTTTCATGGGGTCCATCTTCCTACAGGCTCCTGGGCTACTTTGGAAATGCCTTGAATTGAGACTAGAAGGATGATATCAGGTCACATTTTCCAGAGAATTAGAATCCATTATTAGCCATTTTTTGGTACTGAGAGAAAATGTTTAAAGTCAGTACTATACTGAAAAATCCCAAATAAACAGTTACCATGGCTCTCCTCCCTCTCCCTCCACCCAGTCCCCATCCCTGGGGACAGAACAAGACTGATAGTTGTGCAAACAGACCATATGGGGAGAAGACAGGGACTCTCAAAGGCCTGCCTGAGCCAGAGCCAGATAGAACCCAGCTCCTGCAGGACTGGATGTGTGAGCACATCCTT